CAATTCTTTCTCAAGTTCATGCATAAATCACTAAATCAATTGAAAGATGATCAGGCTTCCAATGCATTAAGTTCAATAATATAAACTCATCATGCGAATAACTTTAATTGAAAATATAAAATCACAAAATCTATATTGAATTGATTAGGCTACATCATAGCCTTAATAAAATAAATCAGTTCATAATAAAAAGAATAAAATATGAAATCAAAGTTATGGACATTCAAATATCAAACAATAGATAAAAACTCAAGGAAAAACAAAACCCAATTTGAGGAAATCGAATTCCTTGATCTTCTATTGTTGATGGAATCTCAATCTTGATCTCCAATAATGCCCAAAGAGGGCTGCCACCAGCCTCTCAAAACTCTCTTCAATTCTGAATTTGGATGGGTATTTATAGAATTTTAGAAATCCTAATTAAAATAGAAGTAGGACTTGGAACAGAAATATGAAACTGAATTTTGGTTGCTGATCGCATGGTGCTGATACTTCGGATTACGTGTTGACACAAAATAAGAAACAGAATCTGATTCTGGATGTTTAACGCATGGTGTCGACACCCCTATCATGTGTCGACACTACACCCATGTCCGGTTTCTACTCTTCTTTTGCAATTTCTTCAATGGTAAAATAGCAGATTTGGTTCCTGACTTTTGGATTCTGCACAAGTTGATCCTCAAGTCTCTGATCTCTTCAATTTACTTTTAAAAAGTAGGATTTCTTCCAATTAAATCCTTTCTTACACAAATAATGAAAATCATATAAAATCAAACAAAATCAAACAAAATCCCATAAAACTCATCCAAATATCAATAATATTAAAGTAAAAATTCCCTATTAATACGTATATAAATTTAGCTCATCAGTAACTTTGGTTCGAATCATAATTATATGTTTATGATTCGAACCATTTACGGAAAATCAAAATCTGAAAAGTTACGTTTTTTGTTCGAACCACAATTTTCTGATTCGAACCATTTACGTCAGAATAAGAGATAAAATTCAGATAAGTTTATGAAGAGAGTGAATAACTTTGAAAGGTAAGGAAACACGTGAGTTGAAATTCAAATCAAACCAAATGACTTTTGGAAGAGTTTCCAATGGATAAAAATTGAAAAGAAGTGTTTGTTCCCAATAGACATCTTGAAAAGAAGTGTCTATTCCACGAGATATCTTGCCCTATAAATATGGAGTTATCTCTTCTTCTCTGGTAGAGTCTATTTGAACCCAGGAATATCTAAATAAAATAGCCCCTTTTTGTATTGTGATTGCTCGAGAAATTCCTATACAAAGACTATTGTTTTGTCGCTTTCCAAAGGATGGTTCAGTGGTTGATCTTGCTAGTGCAAAGGCTAGATCAACAAGGTGCTTCATTGTATCCTGTAGGCATTTTGGGTTACCCCTTTTGCATACCAGATCTGGTGGGGGTGAAATTAGTCTAAAGGAAAGTAGAATTTGTAGCACACCTTGAAGCCAATGATCTAATGATCTATTTTCTAACCCCCTATTTCTCCAACATAATGGAAGTCTTGACACATTCTTATTCAGCAATGGAAGACCACTCTTTACTTGGTCTCAAAGGTATCGAATCCTCAAAGATGTTGCATCTGCCTTGCTTTACCTTCATGAAGAATGGGAGCAGGTTGTTCTACACAGAGATGTCAAAGCGAGCAATGTTTTGTTGGATTCAAACCTAAATGGAAGATTCGAAGATTTTGGACTAGCAAGACTACATGATCATGGTGCGAAGCCAGAGACTACTAACTTGGTGGGAACTATAGGACATCTCGCCCCAAAGATTACCAGAACCGGGATGGCTACTACTAGCACTGATGTGTTTGCTTTCGGGGTATTTTTGCTTGAAGTAGCATGTGGAAGGAGGCCTATAGAGCAATAGAGACAGCCTGAAGAAGTATTCTTGGTTGAGTGGATCACAAAATGCTGGAAAAGAGGAGCTATTTTTGATGCTTGTGATCCAAGATTGGAAGGGAATTTTCCAGTGGAGGAAATGGAGTTGGTTCTGAAACTGGGATTGCTATGTTCACAGTCACAGCCATCAGCCAGGCCTAGCATGAGGCAAGTGCTCCAGTGCCTCAATGGGAATACCAGTTTGCTGGATTTTTCACCAGAGAACATTGAAAATGGTATGGCCACGTCAAACAATGAAGCATTATTTGATTTCATAATGTCA